CGTAGTTTAATAAATAGCTCCTTGCTGTGGATTCTCCTGCAGACTTATTTACAGCCAGGTCCCCACCGTGTGGACAGAAGAGCTCCTTGTGCGATGCTCAGTATCCACGTCACGACTTGTGGCCCCAGCAGCAACTATTCTGTGATTCCCTTTTCTCTGCTTCCATTCTGCCCTGACAAGGCATGCTGGGAGGATGCACTTAGATGCAACAGTGCAGTTCCTGTGAACAGACAGGATGTAAATAGACTTTTAAACCACTCTTCTTTGCCCTTTTCTTTTCCTTCTTTTTTGTGGGTCTCTTCAATGCACTTATGTGGGTGGAGGTGTTCATCATCAATTGTGGAAATAGACATAGCTATCTGTAGCCCTCAGTGAAGACAAGAAAAACCAAAAGTGCAATGCTGGGCAGGGAAATAACATCAGATTAAAGTCAGTGGGCGGGGGCTAGCACTAATCTAGTCTAATCCATCGGTCTGAAGTACTGAACAACTGGCCCTAGTTTGAGTGTGCCCTTTAAATAGACAAATAAAATGAGCAAAAGCAGACTTTCAGTATTTGTGGTATTTTTGGGCTGTCAGTGCTTTGTACAAACCATTTTCGTATACATTTGTTGTTGTAGCAACTTCCTCATAACTTCCGAACTTCGAAGAAAACTTGTGTGCTGTGCCCAGGTTTTTTTTCAGCTTCCAACTAAAAGTTCTCTCCATCTTACCCATAGTCAGCCAGCACACATCGGTAAATAACTACATCATTATTGATATCTAGTGAAGGCCAGAGACGAGGGCCGGGAGTTTGAGAATCATGCGTTTAATCTAAAAAAAGAAAAAAAAAGTGTTTATTCTTTTTTTGTTTCAGGGTCATGTGACTAAACAAGGCTTGTATATGATTTTGAAAATATATTTGTGTATAGAATGCAACAATTAAAATATTTAGTAAGTATGTTTTGCTTTTTTTAAACACATTTGTTGTTCTTCAATTACCCCCCTTTTTGTCTGTCATGGCAGCCAATTTTAATGTCTAAAGGCATTAATAATCTAGATAATTTATATATTATATTTATTTTTAGAGATTTCAGTGTGCTTTCTCTGCTTCCTGTGGTCACCTTTAAGTCTGAAAACCTAAAGTTAGTTGTTTTGGATAAAAGTGTTTTGACTGATTTCATAGGGTTCGAGTCATATTTATCCCCATAATTTTAGCTCTGGACAGGAGAGGAAGATGAGCTACACATTTGACAAACACATAAAGACAAAATAATATATATAAGAATATAAGAATTATGCAGATTGGTTACACAGTAGGAGCAACTGTTTGTGCTCTTGACTTGTAGCAAGATCACCAGAAAAACTGGGTTCGATACCCAGTATTTTCTGTTCTATGTTCGCCCTGTGTGTCTGTGTGTTTTCTCCAGGTACTCTGGTTTCCTCCCATAGTCTAAAAACAGGCAGATTATACAATTGTTCACACTAAGTGGCTCCAGCACCCCTGAAGAGGATTATGTTGTAGGAGATGAATGAATATTGCAGATTATGTGTCTATGGCGATGTAATGGTGTTTTAAAAGAGACAAATATATAGTAAAGGTCTCTCTTTGTACATGTCACTCCTTTAACATAATCACAGTGTTGGTGTGAGTGTGAAATAAAAGAAAATGTAGGCGTCTGCTAAAATCTCCCCTCATGGCTAATTAGCGCGTCAGCTTAAAATTGACTTTTAAGAATGCCGTACAGATTAGTTGCTTTCTGTCAGAGTTAACCTGATGTGACAGCCATAAAAGGGAAAGGAGGAAATTGCTGAGATGAGAAGAAAGGTAGAGAGCATGAGCAAGAGAACAGCAAGTAGTATATGTTTTCATTTATTCTTTTTTTTTTTTACCCTTTTTTACCAAGCCAAAATGGACACACAACAAACAAGGAAAAGACATGATTCAAACCATTTACACAAACAGAAATTACAACACAAATCAATGGTTTCCAGTTTTAGTATTTGGTCGATGGACCAAAAATTAAATTTGGGCAAAACACCTATACATCTTTAATTTCCCTTTAAAAGTTTATTGGAGACTTTTGTCAAAATGCTGAGTTGAGAAAGGCTGCTTAAAATTTGTGGCCGACTTGGTGTTACTTGTAAAATCCACCTGTGTTTCCCTAGAACTTTTTGCCCTTCAGTCCAGATAGACATTATAATATTAGACATGCCTGAAGCCTTGAAAGATTCCGTGTCTCCTGGTGACGGATTGGGAACCCGCTCAGCGTCTACCCTTCCTCTCACCCACTGTCAGCTCTGATTCTTAGTTTCTGTTTCCTGAATGACTTGGCTCCAGTGTCTTTCCAAGAATTTGTGGCGAGGGGAGGTTTTGGTCCTTGGTCCTCTCTCTCTCTCTCTCTCTCTCTCTCTGTCTCTCTGTCTTTCACTTTCTGTCCTATGTTGTCACTGATAAAGTGACTCCCTCCTGGCGTTTTTATCTTTAAACTTTTTTTTTCCCTGACAGCTTTTTTCATCCTGCAGTGTGTCGCAGTGCTGTACAGATTTTAAAACCCTTAGGGCATCTTTGTGATTCTGCTACAGGCTTGTTTTAGTTAAATCTGCCTTGACTAGGCAGGAGCCTTCAAACAACTTCCTAAAAACAATGTTGTTGTTCTATGTGAGTAAGGACATTATTTTGCTCGAAGACAAACTATAAACAACCTGTGCCGCACACAAAACCAATTTTCTCCAACATGCTCGTTCTGTAAGTGCACAGCATTTTCAAGATGTCAGCACCATGTTTGAAAATAAAGAAAAGTCCTGCAGGTAAATTAATATGGGGGGGGGCAAAGCAAGACAAATAGTTCAAAGGCAGACAAACCCAGATTACATTGTACATAATTTGCCAAGTCTGACTGATGATTGAAGAGACTTCAATGCTTGTTTTTGTTGCCTCTTTTCTCAAAATTTCTCTGGTATAAATACTACCCGAAACCAATTTTAATGAGTCTGCACCTTGTTTGTGGTCCATCTGGTTATGAAGCCTAACTGTGTGTAGTTGTTGTTTTCTAAAGTTAAGCTTTTGTTCCCAGATGACCTAAGGAATGTGGTTATTTGATAGAATCTGAATCAGAATTACTTTATTGATATCCAGGAGGGGGTTGTTTTGCATTGAAAACAAACCACTGATGGAAATTAAGTTTCCTAATAAAGTAAACATCAAACAAAACAAAATAATAGCACAAAAGCAGCCCAAAAAATATACATCCATCCACTTATCCATTACAGGGTTGCAGAAGCAGTCTCTATGACCGCCACCCAAATCACACTGCACTGCACCGCCCAAGCCCTTCGTCAAACTTCCAATAACAGAGACATTGCCTCTGGCCCAAGGACCACCCCAAAAATTCTATCTAAAACATATGTTCATCAGCATAAGTACCTATAAATATGTGAAATATGGATTAATAGCAACAGTGACTTTGACATAATGACACAATGAAAACAATACCAGCTCAGTAACAATAGAATAGCAACTAAGTGGACATGGAGTGGCAGCCAAGTAGCAATAGGCAGCAGTGAAGTAGCATTGGTAGTTTGCTAAGTAGCAACACCAGTATGTGGTTCAAAAGTGGATCACAGGTTCGTTAAATCATGATAAAAACCACCTACCAGGAATCAAAGGATAAAGAAAAAGTGAATGATTTCAAAAACAGCTTTTTTTCTTGGTTTGTCAATAAAATACAAAAAATGTTTTTATTTTACCTCAAATCTAGTATATTTACTTGTTGTTTTATTTACATTATTTATGCAGTACTTTAATCGTTGCTCATTCCTAACTTGAACAGGGGTATTAAAGTTGACTGATCGCAGCAATTTACCTGATTTCAGAACTGAGCCTAGTGCAGGTAAGGTAGTGTGCCACTACCTCACCGTACAGCTTTTAAAATATATTTCCATCATTGTTCGCTTGGTTTTTTGGCTGTCAAAAATAATTATAGAAAAGTGTGTTACTGCTCTGGCAGAGACAGTTTTGTTTGTTTGTTTGTTTGTTTGTTTGTTTGTTTGTTTTAGCTGCCCAACGTGATTAAAACCATGCAGCGTTCCCACTCTTCAGAACTGTATGCAGGAGTGCCTGTGTGTATGTTTGTTTGTGTGGAACTAAGATTGAGAGGGGATGAATGTTAGTCAGAGTATAACGAGCTTGCGAGTATGTTCTCTTCCTATTTGTTCACACTTACACCTGCCTCCATACTATGCAACAACAGCGCCACCACGACTAAAATACTTTTCTGGATCTCAGTTGCTAAATATGCTCCATAACAAGAGACATAAACGTACTACATTGTCGGTTTTACTCCTCTTCTATTTTCTTTTAACCCAGCACTAGCAAGCCGCGTCCACTTGAGGACGCTGCGTCACAATTTTAAACAGCAGTGGATTAAATGGAATGGGATTCACTCATTTGTGACCTCATGTCATAAACAAAAAAAATTAGTAGAGTGTAATATAGAATATTAAACATGTGTGTTTATGAATTAACACTCACACTATTAAAAAACATTAACTTTTACATTATGCAATTGATATAGTGATCCTTAAACAGAGACTTACGACATTTTTTACTGGATTAAGCGTTTTTTGTATTACTTAGCACATAAGTCAAGTGCCATGTGTTTATTACACACACGTACAAAATATTTTACTTACTTAATTTCAATTAAGTATAAACACAACCAACACCCAAAGTTGTTATTTGAGGTTTTACTTTTGTTCAAATCTGCTCAAAACATTCAAAATTGTTAGCATCTTTAAAAAATGCAATAAATATCACAAGCCTGGACAATAATAAGCCAAAGTATTCAAAGTATGAATAAGTCCATGTTATTTAACAACTACTACCAAATGTGTCATTACTTCGTACTTTCACCTTAACTATACATCTTTGAACATGTGTATCACGTTTTGGCAATGACGATTGTAAAAAAAAAATCACCCATTTTTTTCTTAGCTTGAAAAATATGCATAAAACATATTTAAATGCCTATAAATACAAACAATATTCGACGTTATGGAGTAAGAATTGGCAGCAGGCCGATAGTGTCCAGGACACAGCAGGATCATTGATCACATATTCACACACGCACGCACACGCGTACTCTCTCTCGCTCACACACGTGCACGTACGCTGAGACGCGCGCGCGCGCACACACTGTCTGTGAATGGCTGCTCCACAGCAGCCAATGGCATAGCACCGGATGCGTGATATCCGCTGCAACAACAAGCGCTCTGTTTCGTCCCCCTCCTTCCAGCCTGACGCCATTTACAGTCCAAATCCCGACCTCCACTCCGGAAAGACCCAGGGAACAAAAATGTGCGCACGCACGAGAAAAACTCTCTTTGCAGCCTTTTTGGAGCTTTACGCACGAAACGCGGAGTACGAGAAGTTTTTTCTGAGCGCGACCATTTCCTCCTCCATGTTGCAGGGAAAGTGAAGTCGGACTGATTTCACTGTCTGAACTTCAGCTCTCACCAGCCTCGTGGTTTTTGCGTGTAGTAGAAAAGAAAACACTCGGGATTCAGCATTTCCTTCGTGCGTAAATGGAGTAAAGGCGCAACGTTTGGAAACTTTCTCAATGGATTTGACCGAGTGAGTGGGTGCAGTAGTGAATAGTATATCACTTTCTTCTCACGCACACACACACTGGATTTCTTTTTTTTCCTAGAGAGGAGCTAAAGCGACGGAAGCACGGTGAGTGTGTCCTCTCGCCAAACACACACCTTAGAGTGTTTGTTTTTCCACAACTGCATACATTGTTTATTTTGATGTTGTCACATACGTTTTGAAACCCTAAGCTCCTGGATAACAGAGTTTGTACTTGTCGGTTTTTTACTGGGGATTAAACCTAAAGGCTTTGAAACGTTTCTGACCTGACGCCATGTTTGGGTTAAAAGTATAGATTCTCCCCTAAAGAATACAGGTGTTTGATATTTACACGGTCTTTTAGTTTGTCTCTGTACAATGACTGATTTAGTTGTTTATTTCACTCCTGGCCTTTGCTTCATTATGATACAATCTGGTCCAAGCTGGCATACGAGCCAGTTTATGTTTTTAGTCTCGAAATCAGTTTCGGCCAACTCTTAATCGTTAGAATAAGGCTGTAAAGTCACAACAGAATTGACATTTAAAACAAACCTGATTATTTAACAATATCAACAGTAGTTGGCGCCATTATTTACAATTCGTCAATGAGTCATTTGTGTCAATAATATGAAAATTGCAGATTGGCGTTCAACAGAAACCCTTAAAGCTACACAGTTCATTTTCTATACAAAACGTTAGTAGATAGATAGATAGTTTTTCGAAATAACTTAGTTGTAAAGGGGGGGTTAAAAGTTTACTAGTGTAGCATAGGCCCAGTCTGTGGCAGTGATGTAAGTATGGTTAATGTATTAAGGTTAATACATTATGTTAGCTTATAGGTTTTTAAGTTATTGGTGACAGACTTATAAACAAAAGCCTTTTTGTTGCACAAAACACAAAGTGGGTATTGTTTGAAGTGGGAATGTAGGCGTAAAGTTTTTGAACTGGTGGTTTATGTTTTGAAACAACTATGTTACACACACATAGTTGTAAGATTTTGACACAGGATCGCTGTTGTACAGTGCTAAAGAACAGTGCAGCTTCTCCCCATATTTAGCCATTTGTTAGCAACCGCTGGTGATTATATATAGATATAAAATGTTACCTACTATGTCATATCATTTGGAGAAAATGGTACTCTCCAAATGGATATAAATGGACTTTCAGGGACAAAGCTTTTGGCTAAGTAACAATATCAAATTTAAAAACAATGACAGTTTATAAACAGGATTTTTTAAAATTCTTTTTAAAGAAAGATCCTGCTGTTCTTTCTAAAAATAATTGTCAAAATAATCAACTTAAGATTTTTGATTAGACAATTTTTGATTTTGATAGGCAATTAATTACAAAATTAGTCATTAATAGTAAGGCAAAAAAGATAGTGTTTTTCCCCATTGCTGAAATACAAGAGTTTGTTACATAACATATGCTAATAGTTACTTAATTGATCCCAAAGAGAAGTGTTGAAAGTTTTTGACATCAGTAATGTATCAAAGTAAATTCCAAACGTGTCAGTCTAGTTTAATATGCTGAATATTATGTAGAATATAATTTGCTACATAATATGCTAAAACAAGAGTAAATGGTCAGATAATTTTGAATATCTTTACAGTAGGTGGCCTTTTTGGTGAGGCCCTTAGCATTTGTTCTGTCAAAGACGTGACACAGTAGTCAATATGAGATCTCATCAAAATGACATGCTTTAAAAAATTGTCCATAAAAATAGATACAAGTTGTAGACATTTTTAAATTAAAGTTTATCGTGGTTTTAGCATTCTTGTCGGTTTTAAAATCTTTTGTTAAATTCTATGAATGTTCTTTAAAACTAACACTTTTTTCACATCAGCGTTCCATTCTCCCGCCATCCTTAAACACATCACTACGCTCATATGGTCTCTTTCATGGCTCTGAACTTATTTTTTTAATCTTGTCACTCATCTCCTTTTCCCAGCGTGTCACAGTGTAAATGTGTAAGAATAGCAGAGGTTGCTGCAGGCCATTTGTCATGCAACAAACAAAAGGCCTTCCTGTATTGTCATTGAAAGAGCTGAAGGATGAGGAGGTGCAGGGGGATGTGGAGGAGGAGGACGAAGTAGGCATTTGAAAGCTAATTACCACAAAATAGGAGAAGACGTGCTTCTGATGCCTGATGTTTCCGTGCCCTGCTGTGATATGTTAAATGGAACAAGGCTGTGGCACTGAAAATTTAGAGAAGTTCGGAGTGACGGTGCAGACGTGCTCTTCCTCACAACTCCTTCCACCAAGTCACTCACTGTTTTAGCTTGCCAGTAGAGAGAACTGATTTTATGTGGACAGACACATTCAGGAAATTCATTAACCAACAGTTGGTCACTAACTAGTTGTCTGTCTCCCACTCAGAAGAAGCATAGGCTAGTGTTTTAACACTTTTGGAGACAAAACCTGTTTTATTATGTCCTTAAATTGCATCCTACTCTGACAGAAGTGATCCTGTCTCACATATAGAAAATAAAATGCAGTGCAGGCAAGTGAAATGGACATAGCCACTGAGGTTGATGCATTTATTTGTCATGTATTTCTTCTTATTATTATTGCTAACAGCTAACATGTTAGCTGTTAGCAATAACAGCAAATGTTATAAAAATTGAAAGTGATTTTTAAAACTACGGTCTATTGTTAGCATTGTTCAAATCCACAAAAGAGCAACGCTTATTTAGCTTACATTAAAGCTTTTGCCTATATTTAGCCTGCAGAACCAAATTGCTCACACATTGACTTGACTTCTAATATCAATGGACCATGACATTCCTTTAAAAATAAGAAATGGTTTAATTTTCTATTATTATGGGTTTGTTTGTTTTTTTTTGTTTTGTTTTTTTTTAAAACTGCTATTCAAAGTACCACCCGCAGGAGATGGTTATAGAGCAGGCATATGCTTTCTATACCTTCAAATAGTGAAATGTTAAAAAGGTTCTCTGCTGTCTTTGTCATGTGAGAGTGGTCTGACTCTACATCTAAGAGAAACCTCCAATAAGTTGTTCAGCAAAATTCAGTCAATCAGAAAAATATATTTTTCTATTTTTCCACACAAATGTAAAGCTGATCATTACATTTACATATCTTATGAAGGAAGTTCTTCTGGTGACAAATTCTTGTAACAATTCTGCAATAAGTTGTTCCATGAACATCTGCCCGAATTAACAAACAATTACAGCTTCTGTGATTTTCTGGTTGTTGTTTTTATTATTATTATTATTATTATTATTATTATTAAAATGAATGTTTGGAACACTGGAACAAAAATGTTAGTTCCGCAAAACAAACAAATAACACTAGTGTGTGGTGTTTGTGATCTTATTTCCATAGCGGTGCGAGCAGTTTGTGATTTGCATATTGACATTTGCATGGCTTGTCACGAAACAGCTTTTAACCAGAGTTTTTCTTTTACAGGACTTCAGATGTGTCCCACGCCAGCCAGAGTGGCCCTTCAGTTCCACCATGGATTCCAGAAGTCCGAACGACAGCGACGGGGGACGAGAACGCCAAGGACATTCACCAGGCTCTCAGCATGACGAAGGGAGGCCACATCAATGGCCTCCACAAACACTGGATGATCCTCAACATCTTGGGCTGTTAAACCGACAGCCGGTGCTGTCTCTGGATCAGATTAGAATAACTGGGAGCTGTAATGAGTACACAGAAGCGCCCACGGTAGCACAGAGATCTCCAGCGTCTCAGCAAAAGCAGCAAAAGGATGACCAAGTGTTGTCACACAGTTCAAGGACAGGGCAACAAGAATCGCGAGAAGAAGAGCCTAACAACCTCCGAAACCTGCATCTATTGACCCAGCCAGAAAATGCAAGCACGGAAACACCCTACATGGAGGAAGACACCCAGACCATTAGGACCAGTATAGAAAGCAGCTCATCATCTCAGAGGCTCATTATTAATAATGAGCAGATCATCAGTTCCCAGCCTAAACGTTCTGAGGTTATTCCAGAAGAGCTGAAACCCCTGAATAGTGAGTCCGCTGAAGTGATGATCACTGCAGGCAGCGCAGGCTTCAAACATGTGGATGAGCACTCAAACAAGTGCGAGGACTGTGGCAGGTGCCAGTGCTCAGAGTGCACTCACACCCGGGGACTGCCCGCCTGCTGGATGTGTGGCCGGCGGTGCATGTGCTCTGCGGAAACTGCCGTTGAGTATGGAACGTGTGTGTGCTGCGTGAAGGCGCTCTTCTACCACTGCTCCAGCGATGACGAGGACACGTGCACGGACAAGCCCTTCTCCTGCACTCAGTCCCACTGCTATGTCCGCTGGACCACCATCTCGCTCCTCTCCCTGCTCTTCCCCTGCCTCCTCTGCTACCTCCCAGCTAAATGTTGTGTGACCATGTGCCAGAGCTGCTACAACCGGGTCACCCGACCCGGCTGTCGGTGCAAAAAGGCCAATCAAGTCCACTGTGAGGTTAGCAAGCTACCCTAGAAGCAAGAACACGGGAAGACTTTGTCTTGTGACGGTGTCTCTCATGTGTGTTGTGAAAACAGTCTTCTGTTTCAGCATCTGATCTGCTTTCATTTTGGTCATTTTCTCTCAGTTCGTGTCTGACAGAGGCCTGAAGGTACATTTGCTGACCCTCAGTCAAACCAAAATAAGCGCTTCATTTTCAACTACTGTTCAGTTCAGAAGAAAAGATGAGAATATTGTTCTCACTTGGACACATGTAGAGGTGCATAGCCTTTTGTTTTAACATGTACTTAACATGCTAAGAATATGCTCCTGACTAACTGTATGTAAAATAGCCAATGTGGTGTACATCAGAAAGATGTTTTATTTTTGTACATAATAATAATATTTCAACTGTGAAACGTTTTTCTTCTGCCACAGATGGACACCTTGATGAATCCACATTCTTCTGAATTGGTAATTCTCATTCATTAATGTCATGTACATCAAACACACTGGTGTATATCACAAGGGGAAAAAAATCTCACTCCTGTTACTTGTATATTGTACAGTGATCTTTTATGGATAAAATGTATTTTCTAATTGCTTCATAGCTTAGTGTAAAGTTAAAATTATATATTTATTTGAAGGTTTTATTTTAAAATGACATATTTATTTTCAGCGTTTGCTGCAGAGCAGAGAGTGTCAGAGACGGGTGAATAGTTAATTGTGAATTAGACAAATATATTAACGTTTGGAATTAAACAACCTTAAAATCTGTTTTATGTTTTGTTTTATTTATAACTTTTACCTGATTTTCTCTTTTTTATGCACCCTTCTATAATCCTGCACCATCACTATTACTTCACTCTTTTGCATTCAAAACAACTGTTTTAGATCACATCACAATGGTCACATGGGTGCTATTGATCTGGTGCAGGCTTCAAACCTTCAATTAAATTTGTGCTATTTTATTAATTGCTCGATGTCTGTTCTTCAGACTTACCTCTGAAGCATCATTGGTAGAGACTGTGTGACTTCTCAGTCACCCATGTGATTTTATCTTTGGAAATTCAGAAGCAAAAGCTGAACTGACCTGGTTTCTTGAATACACATCACTACTCTTACCAGCGGCATAGATTCTACCCATCATTGTTAGAGCAACGTGTGTATCTCTTTAAGCTTAAACGTCCTCAGTTGACATTTTTGTGCATTTATATTTATTGTTCTTAACCTCCAAGTATATTTCATATATGTTTTGGGTCCTACAGATCGTGACCCTGTTTTTTTTCAACAGTTCTTGAATTCTTTGGGTTTGAAAAGCCCTGCAGGCGAAACATAAGCCTGAAACATGAACCCTGACACTGCTGTTGACAGCACACGGACGTGTTTGCCGCGGCACAGTATGCATTCAAATGTGTGATTGACACACCAAGTTCCAACCTGCACTCACTTGTTTGTTTTTCATTCGCACCCTTTGACTGTGTGTGTGTGCAAACGGGTGTTGCTTTACATTATTTTCAACTTTCACCTACAGTATTAACCAGGACAATAAGAAGCACATGATGGATAAAAGTTCCACATTTGACGCCAAACATAATTGTATAAAAAGAGCAACGTTAATTCTGTTACATTTCAGTCGTTAATATTACAGTCACAGGTCTCTTTCCTACTCCGGTCGGGTTTTGAATGTAGAGGGAACTGGCGCAAGGACGTTTGTGTGTGTGTGTTTGTGTGTGTTTGTGTGTGTGTGTGTGTGAGTGAGTGAGACCCTGGTGGTGAGGGGGTGGTAGGAAGAGCGACTGCAAAGGGTTAAAAGCATCACTTTAAATGACAAAGACCTAACAGTTTACCCCCGTATTCAGCCCAGCATGCATTCATCCTGTTTTCAATAGTTGGGCAAGGAGGTGGGGGGTCATTTTGGCTCCTCTTGGCTACCTGCTCCTACTTGATATTCCCATATGTGTGCCTTGTTGACGGTTGAGTTAGAAGGTTGTGTTGTTGGAGCAGTGGTTGAACGTGGCACAGAGGGTAATTAGCTTCATCATGTGGAAATATGCTTTAAAACAATGGAGTGATTGTTTTCAACAGTTAACACAATGGTATCAAATGTTTTTTTAGTTGTTATTGCTCATTCCAATCCATTTATGCTTTGGATGAAGATGTAGTACAATATTTAATTATTAAAAATCATATCAAGGGCTCTCTTTGTCCCAGTGTTTTGGTCACAGAAAGAGAAGGGGGTGTGGATTTTTTTAGGGCCCCAAAAGGGCTCTCTTTGTTGGTTTTAGCCAACGTGGCCCCTGTCAGTTTGTGGCGGCTGCAGGGCAGAGTAGCCTATTCACCCTGCTCACCAAGGCAGAATGTAGCATAGGAAGACAGGAAGGAAGCAAGGGCTATTCTTCATGAATGCATTGTCTGCTTGTCTGAAGGCCAGGCTTTAGAGTTACCGAGGGATGTGGCGGTGGTGGCAGGGTGTCATTGTGAGAAAACACTAATATGACAGCACAGAGGAATCAAATCTATTTTTCATTTTTGTGAGCTTTGAAAGCTCGTATCTAAATCAGGTAATTGTGAGAGTCTGTGTGTTATGACGTAGTTAAATGTGATGTGAACTCACACCAATAACTTAGGTAAGGTAAACAATATTTCCATTATTCTTTCAAATCTTTAATATTTGAATTCAGATTAATCAGCTACCTATAGTTAAAGATATAGCATATCAAAAACAAATCTAAAAACCTGTAGACTGCTTAAAAATGAATCTTCTCTGTCTTTTTAAACTTGGTCCTGTTAAAAACATCAAGGTTTTTGCCTTCTACCTTAATTTTCCTTTCCCTGTTTTCATGCTGGTGTAGCACTTTTTCTATTGTTAACATGCTAAATGCTAACAAGAAGTAAATGCTTTATTTTTCATGTGAAAAGTTTTGAAATTTCAAGATTACAGATGAAATCAAAATCCATTATAAACCCATTATATTTTAAACTATTTCATTGCCACCAACAGGCCAGGAAAAATTAACTTCATGCTCAGTGCTACAAAATATCACATTGTTTTAGAAGGAAAACCACACATTTCCCCTGGAAAGTACCTGTACTGGCATGATAGGTAGAATTTGTTTAAATTGCCTATTACTTATAATATCTTGAAAAATATCTGACTCTGAAATTTTCAATCATAAGAACTAGTGAATTTCACCATATATACAGTAGATCTGGATTTAATTGAAATTCTTGCAAGAAATTCCTGCAACATAAGCCAAATGCAGATACACTTCTATTTGTATTGACTGTACATATATACCAAAAAGTGTCTTCATATTTAAAACCCCCCACCACAAACACGCACACACACACACACTACGTGAGCACATTGTTCTTTTGAGGGCGAAAGCATTTTCTCAGAAAAGAAACCTGGTTTTCCGACGTGGGCGGCTGAGTGAGGTGAACATCTCAAGAGTCTTAGAGGTTAATTTATACAAACTCAAACATGGTTTTTTATTCCCCTCCGCTTCATTCGCTTCTAAAGTCACAATAATGTTGTGTGATTTAGAAATATGCTTTTTATTCACAATAATACAACAGATGAAACCCAGCTAGCTTCTGTAATATTCTATTCAGTTGTGTTATGAGGACACACTTTTAAAAGGCACTGTTTAGCAGCTTGTATTTAAATTTTATTTAGCTAGTCCAGAAGTTGACTTTAGCCCTGAAGTTCAGTTACTCTCCATGGCTTTGGGGTCTGAAGCAGTTGAAAGTCCAAATGACAGCTGAACTACTGTTATGCCTAATGGAGGACAGTTACTGCAAACAAGTAGCACGAGAAACATTGAAAAGATTATATGTCATAAACATTTAAAGACTGAGAAGGTGTGTGTGTGTGTGTGTGTGTTGTGTGAAGAAATGGATGACAAAAACTCTTCTACACGTACGTGGAAATCTCCACCATCGCATTTTCATCAGTAGCATCGACAATTTTGTCCAGATGATGAAGCACGTATGGACGCCTACGTCTTATAGCAGCACTTAACTTCAACTCCACCGCAGGAAACTGGCTCATCTGCACACAACTCACATGCACAAAGTCGGGCAGTTTCTGACACCCAGAAGATATTTGTTGGCGACACCCCGGCTGCAAGGCTCTTTAAAGCTTAGCAGCCAATTGTTGTTCTCATAGAAACACAAACACACACACGGAAGGCTGAGAGCTTCAGTTATCCTAAACGGCAGCCCTGATCCTCTTATTCTACACAGAGGCACAGACTTTACATACAAAGAGGAATTAGCCCAGACTGACAGCTCACTACACCACGTTGCACTTATTGCCTGAATGTGTGTTTTTTGGGAGGGTGTTAAGACACACAACGGACCTAAGATTAAACAACAAGGGTTTGTGTTTTATTAAGAAAATAGCTTACACTTAAACTGGATATACATACAACTGCAATTATTTTATGATAATGACAGAAAAAGCAGGGTCACAGAGCAGAAACCAGACATGGTCGAAGACATATGCTCTATGAAACGGCTCATTTATCTGGTGATGTTAAAATCTTGAATTCTTAGTACATTTTAAATAACGCTCACTTTGAAAGACTGAAAGGTTGACGTTTCTCATTCAGCAGATTACTTGGTGATAAATTTTAACCAAACCAAAAAAAATCTGCATTTTAGTAATAAGTCTGCAAACTAAAAGAATGTATATGTTGTTGCTATGCTGTGTTTGCATATAAAGGCCAGATGTTAAAATTGCTGTTGAATATCTTCGTTGAAATGACATTAGAAACCACAATGTCACTGTCAAGAGGTTTCCTGAGCTGCAATAAGGGCTGCGAGAGATAAAATATGTGGTGGCAGTTTGGAGTGGGGTTTTTTTTAGGTGGGATTTTTCCACACAATAAAGGCGACAAAAGAAAGTAGACATTTTAATTAAATAAATGCAGTCTATATACTTTATAAGAAAGCATTAAGTGATTCTCTTTGTTTGTTTGTTTTTTTTAAATATGTAGGAAATTCAGGGTGTGTCAACATGGTTGGGATATAGACATTTAATGTTTACGCTCAGCTGGCCAGCCTGCAGTCCAGATCTGACGCCTAGAGCTCAGCTCTGTTCCATCGAATGCAGCTATTATGCATTGCTGATGAAATAAAGAGCATCTGAACACGACTAAAACTGTAGAAGTTAATGTCTTTTTCGCTGCTGGAATACAAGTTTTGGCAACCTTCTCTCACACCAGAACCATTCATTCAAGGAAGGAAATGAGGTTCTGTTATTACAATAAACACAAACAAAGAAGAAATAGAAAATATGCATTTGAAAAAGTATATTTCCATATTTGTGGTTTTATTTGAATCATATTTACGCAGCTGCTAGAATTTGCAATCTCTCTTTTTCTTTTACCAGCCATAGTTAAGACACATCACCCTGTAGCTGGATAGCGTCATCATCATGTGTGTTTGTGTAGTTATTCAAATGACATAATGAGAACTGAAGAGGACGGCGGTGGTATTTGTTAGTCACACAGATACAGTATAACTGAGGACAGAGACTGACGCAGGATGTTGTCAGGGTGTGAAGTTGAACATTTTTGGTTACAGTAAGATTCTTGCCACAAATCTCTGTCCCTGCTGCCTTGCCTTTACTGCCGTAGGAAATCGATATATTGAGTCTGTCACACAGTTATGAGAGCACTGCGAGCAACAGAGTTTTGTTCCCATTTACAGGTGCAGCACACTGACAAGCTGATGATGACAGCTCAGTCAGGCCAAAGTGTGTGTGT